AATTTCTCATAATCGAACACAAACAATTCTGGAACACTTGTTTTCATTAACAATATTTTTGCACATGGTTGGTTTTGTCTGTTACATTTCGTAAGCACTACAAGCTCGTTTCAAGTCATGACTGAATTTATCTTAAAGATTCCAAGAAATTTATGTTCCTAACATACTAGTCATCCTTTAAAGATGTGAAATTTTAACAAAAAAACCCAGAAGAACTACATTTTTTCCCCCTTATTTTAATGTGCTAATAAATGACGCTAACCAATTATTTTCGATGATTGATCGGTAGTAATGAACCAATCATCAATTATGAGATTTTAACCAATTCCCAACACTAGTGCTCATGAATACAACACGTTCATGATATCGGAATAATCGACGGTGTTTTGGACAGATGTTTCCTATGGATATGTAAAATGTTTTCCCGTGTTTATTGTAAATGTACAATTCCTATATGAATATAACAATATAACACTTTACTGGACTTATGATAGGGGTTCATTAACGCAAATGTGAATAAGTGAGTTTGGTTTAAAACCGCGTTGTGTAGCTATCGGTACCTTTCCAGCGTTTAGCTTTATGTGGACGGGAAGGCCAAAGTTACACAGTCGTGAAACCCACAAACACGGTGTTGTGTTAAATACCTTGAAACATTCAGGTTAATCTAGGACTCGAACCATCACCACAGGCTCCTGGACAGGCAAGGGCACGTTACTGTGTACAGTGGTATGCGCCATCTTAAGGTTCTATCTTCAAAGACCCGGATACAATGCGTGAAGGCCATTTTTGGTGTCCCCCCGCCGTGATATTGCTGGAATATTGCTAAAAGCGGCGTAAAACTAAATTCACTTACCTAAGTTAATCCCATCCCATTAACCCTGTACAATAAGCAACAAACAGCGAATGTGGGACAAATCCGGCTGAACTACAATTACCTGTTACCTCAATGAGGTCAAGCTTATAAATATATACGACCGTATGTGTTTTTGTCAACAGCTGATATGTCCCCACGTCGTCAGCAAGTCTAAACCCAGACGGGCCTGTTCTTCGGTGTTACACTGTCCGTACATTTTGATTCCGACGTATAGTGTGTAACACTTTTCGTATGTCAGTTTTAACCGCTGCTGTAGAAATGTATGCCCCAGTGTGATAAAACAAGCACACTCACAGTGGGGACAAGGTCAGCGTGATCTTTCCTCACCTACATATATTATATACAAACATTCGGATAGCCTTATAGAAGGAAATACATGCTACGAAGGGAATACATTTGTACATTTTATACAGGAGAATACATTTTATACAGGGGAATACATGTTATACAGGGCATCCATTCTGTACAGGGGAAACATACTATACAGGGAACACTTACATGTCTGTAGCTGTGTAATGCATCTAGCCTGTGTAACAAATCCAGTATGCTTTAAACAGAGCGTGTCATGTTATTTTTAAAATTCTTTCATTGGAAATGTTGCGCGGCTAGAGACTTGAGTTTATTGGGTGTAATGTTGTTTAGGATATATCAGTAACAGACAGTGATTCACACACACATGGTAATGGGATGGTACAAGTGGATCTGCTCAGAGTCGAAATTGCTTGTGATTAGGGAATATTCAAGGTGTAGCAACAACTGCTGCAGCCTGTTTCTAGGGTTGTCAGCACCGGTGCTCCAGACTTTCACCAAGGTGGTCAACGACTGAATTTGGCATGACTTCCCTGTCCCTTCAAACTGACTCGTCGTCACAGAATTAACATGCTTATCAAACCTCACAAACAATACTTTTGGAGTCGTTAACAATGTAACTCTCCTAGCCCTCTAAAGGCCGTTCACTGGATCAAGGAATGGCTCTGGAGAATATGCCAAGCAGAGATTAGATTAATGTTTCAACGCCTGTCAAGTAATGGTTATAATGTTTTCTGATTTTTAGGAAATGCACTGAATATGTTTGTGTTCCTACCTGACAGAGTTCCGATAATGTTTTGAAAGACTAGAACGCAATTAAGTTCAAACTTCAGCTGTACAGCCACACTGTAGGCTCCTCGCCTTCCTGGTAACAAACAGATAAGTATACGTGTCACGTGACACTTGTCGTACATTGCGTCGGTCATGCACGCTAACAGGGACACCAATCCCAACCTGTCTATGTCATACACAATGACACGGGACAGATTACAGCATTGGAGTGGCTTGAATATAAAACCCCGTTGAAAAGCGATGCAGATATATCACTGCGGGCATTGAACATATAACAACGCTGTACTGCAATATTAGATTCAAGTACTCTTTATGGCCGACCAGGCAAACAGCAACAACAATAACAATTCTAACAATCATCATCATAACCGAAACTAATATCACTGACATCTGTCTAGCACTTAAATCCCCAGTCACAGGATCAGTATGTATTAGCACTCAGCTCCATGAGGAGTATACAACTCAAGCCGTCTTAGCTCTGGTTTGCATGTACATTTCAATACGTTCCTACCGGGTACCAATTCGTTGCAAACAGCTGCAGATTTTGAATGACGTTATTTCCATTTCAGAGTGAGTGAGTGAGTAAGTTTAGTTATACGCCGCACTCAGCAATATTCCAGCTATATGGCGGCGGTCTGTAAATAATCGAGTCTGGACCAGACAATCCAATGATCAACAGCATGAGCATCGATCTTCGCAATTGGGAACCGATGACGTGTCAACCAAGTCGGCGAGCCTGACCACCTGATCCCTTTAGTCGCCTCTAACGACAATCATGGGTTACTGAAGATCAATATTCTAACCCGGACTTTCATGGGTATTTCCATTTCAGAAAGCGCTATTTAGCATTCCCTGTTTCGGTGTTTCAGTATTGGTCAGAACCTACCGCCTTGGACATGGACACTCACATCAGCCAAACGAGTCAGTCCACCTAGTCGACAAGGCGTATAACGTTCAAACTGTTTAGGATGGGTACGGCTGGGGTTTCTCTCTTGTAAACTAAATAGACGGCCATGCCATTCCCGTGTACATAAATGACCTCTGACCCCTACTTTATCAAAATATTTTAATTTTTTTTATTGTTCTCTAATGATACGAGATGTTCGACGAAAGGAGGGCGTATTCTGTCCCACCTGTGGCACTCGTCACAAACACATGCTCAGGCCAGCCAAGCGTTCACCTGAATTAACAGGGTTGCGGGTGGTCCAAATCGTGATCAAGGTCTTCTAAACTCTGTGTCAGCAAAGCATTTACCCACACAGGTCAGTACGTCATATATAAACCTGGCTCCCAGATCGACTCAGCGTTTGATGTAATTAATAACGGCCATCAACATAGTTGATTTTAATTCTTAAACCAATATTTCACGCTGTGAAATACGATTACGTGTTATCGCTGAAACATGATCTATGTCAAATCACTTTTTGCATGTTTCTCCTTATTGACCATCAGTGTGCTAAACTAATATTCATAAGTCAGTGTGTTGCCCACATCGACATCCTATCACCACGATACGTCACCGGGTGGAAATACATCATTATGAACGATGACTGGGGATTACTGTTTATTGACCAGAGGTGATAAGGCTTGTATATATATTTGTGTGTGCTCAGGACTGTTGAGACCGAGGATGAAGATGAGGATGAAGGGGACGCTGCTGCTGCTGCTGGAGCACATCCTGCTCTTATGTCTATGTGAAGCCTTACGTGAGTTGGTAGCGTGGCTGAGTGAGTTAGTGAGTGAGCGAATGAGTTAGTGAGTGAGTGAGTGAGTGAGTGAGTGAGTTAGGTTTGTTGGTTTGTTGTTTAACACCGCCCTCAGCAATATTCCAGCTATGTGGCGGTCTGTAAATAATCGAGTCTGGACCAGACAACAACATATGCATCGATGTACGCAATAGGGACAGGATGGCATGTGTCAACCAAGTCAGCGAGCCTGGCTACCTGATCCCGTTAGTCGCCTCCAACGACAAGCATGAGTTACTGAGGACCAATTCTAACCCGGATCTTCACGGGTTGAGCGGGTATGCATTTATCGGTATCGTACAATGGTAACAGGGGACTTCTTCTTCTCTGAAGCAGAAATTACCTCCTCGATATACATTGCCACAAACAGGGTGAACCCTCACCACTGAATCACGGCAAGCAATAGGACATAGGAACGAGACATCAGGACATCGTGTGGGTACTGGTCAAGACCCCAGTTACTCCTGCGTTTCCCTAAACCCTACAAAAAAAGATGAAAATCTTTTATCATCCTAAAGGTTTGAGTGAGACCAACGACATATAGTTACAATGAAACCACAGCAGACATCACGAGTTACCAAATGGCGCCATAAGTGTATCTGCCAATGGTGAATGTTATCTGTACCTTTCACTCTCAAAACAGTCGCTATAACCTTTTACAAACCAAAAGCCAATACCGGTGTGTGTTGAGATAAAATATCCCATATTCCTTGGCAAGCTTCGAAATATTCTGTCTGTCTGTCTGCTATTCTGTCTCACTGTCTGTATGTCTGCCATTCTGTCTGTCAGTTTGTCAAAAGAACCAGGATCATAAATGTTTGCGTCTGTGGGTAGGAGTTTCTCAGTATCCGTGCGTGACACTCTGAACAAATATTTGTCTCGATGTATCTGATGAGGTTTGATGCTATTTAACCTTACAGTTCATCAGCGGCAATTTTCCTTTTTGGCAACAGTACGACAAATATTGCAAATACACTGTTGTTACCGCATCCAGGTCCTGGTGAAAGAATCGGTCAGAGTCTACTGCAACAGAAGAGACAGGGCGTTAAACAGGCGCAGAGCGGGCGAGGACAACAGGTATTGCAGAATCCTTCTGGTCAAGGTCATGGTAAAGGAAGACCTGGTTATGCCCCGAAGGGAGTCGGCGTAGGTAAAGGACACCTCCAAAGGCCACAAACACCAGGTCAAGGGCACCGACAATGTGGACACTATAAGTGTATCAACTTCCCTGGGCTGGTTTGTGACAGAGGCCGCGGCAAATGTAATTGTCCTGGGGGCAAAGTCGGAGATGGACGGGTCCAGTGCGCTGATCCAGGTAATTATCATTGCTATATGTCAATATACGCCATTGAGCCTTTCTCTGTATATTAGATCGCGCCTGTAATCTAGAAATAGAGCGTTTGCCCGGAGAGTTGCGGGTGGGTTGTTCGATCCCGGTCCTACTGAAAACCGTTAAAACAAGCTTCCTGATGTTATCATGCCTGGTGCCAGGGAACAAACAAGCATTTGTGTGATCGGGGTAAATTTAATGTCCCGAGTCGGGTATCGTACAAACTGTTGACCCTGTAGCTCAGTGGGCTCGAACTAGTGCCAGAAGCACACTCACGCGCACTCTCGCCACAACACACAAGCGCATTCCTACATAAGTGCAATAATCTTGAACCAACGTAAAGCCCACTTCAGTTCAGTGAGACACATTTGTTTCTCTAAGAATGTCTGTGAGCGTGAGCCATATCGGAAATGGCACAATATGTATGCCCGTTGGTCATGTTGTTTCTAGAAAAGATAACTAAACGAGAAAGATTTGTATATTAACAGCCCGACAATGCCTCTGCACGATGTATGGCGACCCCCCCACGTGACCAACTTCAAAGGCGAAACGTTTACACTTCCGCTTCCGTGTAACCACGTGCTTGCTGATTTGACCACGCCCCCAAGCAGACTCAGTAAACGGGGATGCCGGGTGTTCATCACCGGTAGGGCCAAGTTCTCAGGCAGGCAAAATAATTCAGACATTTCCTATGAGAACCAAGTAGAAATCTCTGTGTCAACCCTGTCTGCAGTCTTCACAACTTCCATCAACGAAAGGGGTTTCAACGTGAGTATAACCTATAGTCGTATATAGCCGAACATTTTTTCTTGGTCTGTATCGGAGGATTACTTAAACTGAAAAGTCGCTTAGCTCTAAAATCTGGCTCCCATTTTCAAGTCCATTTGTAAATAAGTGGCTGTTGCTTAAGACTGACTGACTGACTGAGTTTGGTTTTACGCCGCTTTTAGCAATATTCCAGCAACATCACGGCGGGGGACACCAGAAATGGGCTTCACACATTGTGCCCATGTGGGGATTCGAACCCGGGTCTTCGGCGTGACGTGTTGCTTAAGAACTACATGTGGGTTGATACTGAATTTAAAACCAAACGTGCATGTTGAACAGATTATATCTGTTGCAATACAACGTGAATCGAATATCACATATAATTGAACTTATTTTTCAAACGAAACTTTTTCAAAACTTGGAAAATCTGTGGGAATCCTTTGGAAAAATATCACAAAACCCCAGTACTGGAGAGGTTTAGCGCCATTATTTTGCTTAAAAGTGTTCGGAATATGAAAAATAAAGATTATATTAATAAAATCAATTTCAAGGGTTTACTTCCTTCAGTCACGTCTTTCACGGGATATCATTTTGCGACGCCATAAAATAATGAGTTTAGACCAATTTTGAATAGAACAAACACTACGATAAAACACATCATAGAACGTTTACTACAGCTGGTCAAGATGTCCATGTTGACCACTTTGCTGTGCAGAGTTCCAGAGGTTTCCTGCTAGGTTTGTCAGCACTATACCCATGCTTGTGGGTGAGTGAGTTTAGTTTTACGCCACCTTTAGCAATATTCCAGCAAAGTCAGTGCGGGGGACGCCAGAAATGGGTTTCAAACATTGTACCCATGTGGGGAATCGAACCAGGGCCTTCGGCGTAACGAGCGAACGCTTTAACCACTAGGCTGGTTCCCGATCCACAAAGCGTTCGTAACGTTACGACCTATCTTTATGCTATATCATTGACTTACGAATGACATAATGCTACGAACGCTTTGTGGATATGGTCCCTGGATTTACATCACTTCCGACTTTCAAACTAAGCTAAACACTGTGATGAAACAGAGAACTTCATTTATCTGAACTCAGTAACTCACCAATTATTACAGAATCCTCATTTGACTCACGTGAGCACAGGTGTGAAGGGCAGCGCTGAGGAAGGTAGCAACGAGGTCGACAACCGCCAGCGTCCCAACAATGCCGGCAAAATACAACGTAAGTATGGTTTGATTGTATAGCGCCACACCAGTCAATAGTCCGGCAATACAAACAAGCGGACCTGAACAAGAGTATGTGAATCTGGTTTTACGCCGCGTTTGGCAATATTCCAGCTGTATCACTGCGGAGGACATCAGGAATGTGCCAATCATAGACCCCCCATGTGGGGAATCGAACCCGGTTTCTTTGGCCAGACGATCGAAAGCTTTAACCACTTGGCTATCCCACTAACGAAGACAATCCAGTAACTCATACATCGGACAGAGATTATGTTATGTTAGGTTGAGATGACATGCTCTTTACCAAAACCTCAATCCCGACCTCTGGACCATTTGGTTTCATCTCACTACCAGCATCATTTCACTATAGGCCTACTGTAGCCAGGAAGCTTTACCAGTAGCAAGGGTCATCATCATAAGATTAATAGATCAATGTCGAAGAATCCTCATATTTATCTGAAACTATTCTACACGTTTAGTTTAATCAAATGATCAATCAGCTGACCTCAACTCCATGGTCCTCTCATCCATCTTGTGGAGGGATCCGTTTATTGAATGGATTCACTCGTCAGCTCACCCGATTCAATCAGCTGAAAGTTCAATCAGCTCAGCACATGGCATGTTTGTACCGGTGTTGTCGGTGCCGTCGGTGCCCTCGGTGAACATGTCCTTAGTAATTAATATACCAACGCAGCAGAAAGTTCACATTCCTGTACCAGCCACCCAGTATGTTCGAAGTTCGAATCCGAGTTTTGAAAATGGCCGTTATGTAGTGTGTTTTTCACGCTTATTGTTTCATGTCATACCGTCAATATTCAGGATTGTGTTCTTTGCAGAAATCCAGCAGTACAAGACAGTCGGAAGACGCCGTCGAGGCTCCTATGATCTCCGCGTCCACACCCGGACTGACGAGGATGGGTTTAATCAAGTCACTATCCCTTTCTGCCAACTGAATGTGAAATACAGGGCCCACGACGGAGCTTTCTCTCTCCAGACACCCGTAAGGTGAGATCCACATGTACTCCATCTTTCTTGAACCTCCTTGTTAAAGCATCTTTATTAGAAGTCATCGTTATGTCACATGTTACAACCCTGGACAATACCACGTGGACAGACTACCAGGAGGTAGTGTGTCGAGGATATAAGTACTAAAACAATACCATATAATATTTGACATTGAGGAGTCAATGAGGACCGGTTTCGGTTTGAACTCGAATATTTCAGTAATTTGTAATTTGTAGGGGTTACTGTAGCAGGGCGTGGAGTCATCCCACAGATGACATCCTTACCTTGTCAGCTTGCTGACGGGGTTAACCTGTTTGGTCATGTGGACAAGGCGTCCGACTTCTGATAAGAAAGTCCGTGGTTCGAATCCCAGCACGGGACTCGGAAAGTTTATGGCCGCTACATTACTAACAACCAGTCTATTCGAAATATATTCCAATTATCATTATTTCCTGGTACTTTACATCTATGATTTCCTGGTACTTTACATCTATGATTTTCTGGTACTTTACATCTATGATTTCCTGGTACTTTACATCTGTTTATAATACAAGTAGCCCACAACCACAACTAATTAGTAACTTGCTTTACAACCGTTTACCTTTTTTTCTGTAGTACTCGTAATTGGAAAGTTTAGGAATGTCTTGATAAATTGGTCCGAGGTTTTGAATCGATTCGAGGACAAAACAGATAATATTTCCGAAATGGAGCAAGCGATCATGATATTAATTTGATCGAACTCAACAGTCATATTGGCCACCCGATGTCAATCTTATCACTGATCATATTTAGCATTAGGAATGGGTTAATGTGATCTCCAATGAACTTGAATTACGAGATGAGGTGAGGTGAGGTGAAATTGGGTTTTACGTCGTGCTTGAGAATATTTCGCTCATATAACGACGTGCATGCGTGTGTATGTGTATGTGCGGCTGCTTGTACTAGCCCAGACTTAAGCTGGTTTTATAGTGCTAACCCACTGAGATACCATGCCGCAGTGAAGCATGAATACCCCCACCCAGACATATTATACTGACTCCGAGTCGACCAGTCCTTGTTGTACCCATTAATGCCGAGCGCCAGGCAGGGACAAACAAGTACCATATTTTAACGTCTTTTGGTATGACGCGGTTGGGGATAGAACCCGCGACCTTCCGCTCTCCGGGCGGACGCTCTAAACCACTACACCACGGAGGCGGTCACTTGAATTACGACATGGTGTGAGGCCATGTAAGCCAAATAGCCAAGGGTTTCGGAATTCGCTGTCCACATTTGCGTTGTTTGTAGTGCCATGATCTGCAGACAGGTTCGAATCCAAGATTTGCTCTACTTATGATCTTTGTTCTCTCCCAGTATGTCCGGAAATATGGATTCCATCTCTGACTTTCGTCACTACGGAATTTCCTCCATTGTGCGCTTAATTTAAGTTATATCACATCACATTAGTTTACATTTGGAGGGAATCCCGAATTAATGCAGATACTCATGTTACCACTTTGGTCAAAGACACAAGAAGGTGTATGGCTCAGGCATACAAACATACTGTGAACTAACCTGTGATTCGAACCTACAATTATTGGTTTCTGAGCCACCCGTGCCCTCAGCAATATCGTGCGTGCGTGCGTGCTTGTATGTGCGCCCGCTTGTAGGCTGCTAAGCTGCTTATACTAGTTCAACTAATGCCGGTTTTGTAGTGCAGTTTTGTTTGTATACCGACTCCAAACAGACCAGACCTCGTTGTATTCCCTTTATGCCGATCGCCAGGGTAACAACAAGTAGCATCTATTTATGTGTTGTATGACGCGTCCGGTGAGCGAGACTCGGACCATCCGATCTCCAAATTGACACGACCCAGGCAGGTCATCTGACTGGTTCTGTCTGTTTCCGCAGGTCAGCTGAGAGACGGGGTCTGTGTGGACGGTGTGGCGGGAAATCAGACCGAGGCAGCTCCGCGCTGACCCGACAGCAGTCACTACAACTGGTACTAGCTTCCCTGTACGCACTAAGCCCAGTCGACCATACGGACGCTAACATATACCCGTAAGTGTACCGTAGTTATTGTAAAATCAATTTTAAAAAACATGATATGTTGTTTTTCCACACAGTCAGCATTATTCTTACTTCCAGGTTTGCATGAGCTCGGACGCTGCACGGAATTCCCATGTAATATAGTTTAGACTTTGTTAGTTGTTGTTTACTCCGACTCAACACTTTGGAGGCGACATGTGAAATGTGAAGCAAACAACCCAGTTACTTATTACGACAACGCAGTCAGGTGCGATGGCAGACTGACTGACTGAGTTTGGTTTTACGCCGCTTTGAGCAAAAGTCCAGCAACATCACGGCGGGGGACACCAGAAATGGGCTTCACACATTGTGCCCATGTATGGATTCGAACCCGGGTTTTCGGCGTGACGAGCCAACGCTTTAACCATATAGGCTACCCCACCGCCCCGCGATGGCAGACAATAATCCTAATCATCTTCTCTGCAAGTCGTCTCTTGCAGCTCATGGCTCTCTCCTGACACTTACAGTCTGGGCCGTATTTCGCAGGTGAACGAGACAAAAGTAGTAAAATTAATATCTTTCCAACGTGCATTTTGGGGGTCGTCATTGGTATCCACGACAACGTGGTTGTATGCGTGATTGAGACGCATGATTCTGAAACACCCATGACATTATATTTTGCATGGGAACATAGATTTGTTCGCAGTTACATGTCATACATTTCTAGATCTAACATTGCATAAACACGTACTGCTAAAGATCCGTGTTATAATTGGTCCCCATGCTTGTCTTCAGAGGCGACTAACGGGATCGGGTGGTCAGGCTCGCTGACTCTGTTAACACAAGTCACCGTATCCCAATTACGCGGATCGATGCTCATGCTGTTGATCACTGTTGATCTGGTCGATTAATTACGGACTGCCCCCTATACAACTGTAATATTGCTGAATGCGTTAAACAAACAAACATAAACATTTATGTATTTAGCACCAGGTACCAATTATTCTTTGCATTCCTGAAATTACTTCGGATGCTGTGACTGATGTGACCAGTGTAGGTCACAGCAATACATTCGGTAGCTAAATTTACACTGTGGCACGTTCCTTCAATTGTGAGCTGAAGTATATCGAGGTAGTATTCACGAAGTATATTTGATTGTATTGAAGACTATTGTTGTACTATCTACATCATTATGTAGGGAGGTCGATGAAAGATGGACAATTGCCTGTCCAGGACACATGTTGCAGATCTTGCTTCTGAGTCACAGTCGAGGTCATTGCTCGACCCTTGTCGTGACCTTCAACTGGACTCATCTATCTGCAATATGTGCGAAACATCATCCACTATGCGCATAGCATCTTGGTCAAAGAATTGCTAATTAATAAAGTTTTGTTTCAGATACAGTTTGCATGTACAATGTACTAAAGCAAAAATTGGTTCAGCGCGCAAATAAATTGTTGTTGATAACAACCGAGTTGTACGTAGAAACTACCCAAGGAAAGGTGATTTTGAACAAGTTGGCTAACATAGTTCGTTTGTGCAAAGATTGAATGAAGATGACGAACTTGAGTGAGTGAGTTTAGTTTTACACCGCTTTTAGCGGACGCTTTAACCACCGGGCTACCCTACTACCTGTGTAGATCCGGGTTAGAATTGATCTTCAACAACCAGCTGGTCATAAGAGGCGACTAACGGGATCGGGTGGTTGACACATGTCATCGTATCCCCTCGTGCAGATCGATGCTCATGCTGGTGATCACTGGATTGTCTGGTCCAGACTCGACTATTTGTTGATAGCCGTTATATAACTGGAAAACTGCGACGTCGAACACCAAACAAACAAAATGTCAACACCATACCTGTCCTCAAAGCAGCAAACGTGCGAGACCTTCATGGTTCACAGACCTACAAAAAATGGGGAAGATACACCCACAAATTGTCGACTGGGTCCACTGTATTTGAAATGGAATGTAGATGTTGAACATTTGAGATTTGAAGATGGATGAAATCAACTTTTCAGCATGTTGTGAGTGAGTTAATATTTAGCGTCACATCGGCAATATTTTCAGCCATGTCGTGACACAGCTAGAGACAATAACCAGTTAAACGGCTCACATTATTCTCTGAAAATGAACAGTATTGTATATCCTACGTATTACGAGTTGAAATAAATAAAACATGTTCTAGTTCAAAGGCACGGCGATGGTGTGTTCGATGTAAAGTTGGCATAATTTAAATAGTTTAATAGCAGATTGAAGAATAACAATGCGACCAACAAATTAGTGGATTTTGGGGACCTGTGCCATTTGCGTGAGTGAGCAAGCCATTTGCATGTGAGGGAAACGTTTTTGTATAGGGTGTGTATAAACGCACGCCGATACAAATGATAGAAAGAGGAATTGTGCTGTTCATCTAGGTAACAGATATATTCACATGTTCCATTTTCAGTTCATGCACAGCACTGACGCAAACCTTCGCCTCGTGTCCACGCCAAAGAAAACCACATGCAACAACATTCTGTGGTGAAATGCTCACCAACCCGGAAGTCAATCACTGCCTCGCCGGGAAGGGTGGAAAGGAGCACGTGCCAGACATATTTGCCAACTGCTTCCGGTTCGTGTGTACAAGACACGTACAATGCGGGAAGTACCTGACGCTGTTCAGCGACTGTCTTCCAAAAGCTCGGGCGACAGAACTCGTCAAAGACAAGCGTTTCTGTACTTAAAGACGCATATCTTCATTGTATGCATTACACACAACCGTTGATGTATTACTTTGTCGTAAACATTTCTTTCTTTGTGAGACCAGCTTGGTTCCGATTATGCTATTTCCTAATATACTTTATGTAAACGAAATACCTGTTGATTATATTATTCTGTATAATGTAAAAAAATTAAAAGGACTTTCAAAGCTTTTAAATTGGTTGTGATATTGTCATTTCTCAATCATATAAAGGCACGTAAATTATTGACCGGTAGGTATTCCTTGAGTGAATAGTTCATGATTCACCTATGCTTGTCATATGAATAGATGGGCAGAGGGTCTTCCTCCACTGTGAACTCAATGGTTAATGCATCCGCTCGTCACGGTGAAGACCAGGGTTCGATTCCCCACAGAAATACAACACGTGAAGCCCATTTCTGGTGTTCCCTGCCGTGATATTGCTGGAATATTGCTAAAAGCGGCGTAAAACTGAACTCATTCAATCACACTCACTAGACTCGAGTTTGGTAAAGGGGTACAATGCGTGAAGCCCATTTCCCCGCTGTGATATTGCTGCTATTTAATAACCTTACTGACTCACTCAGACTTTACAAGTTGTAACCTGTAGTTATAGACGCTCGACACCAAGGGGTGAAAACATGGCTGATTAGTTCAGAGTCAGGATAATGTTCTTTCAAAGAAGTTTATTTCAGACACCCTGCTGCAGGGGACGTTACCCTCTCCAGGGGAGGCAGGATTCCATACAACGTTGACAATATTATGTTGGTTTAAATAGTGTTACATTGTTTAACAAGGACAGGTCGTCAAATTAGTTTAATTAATGAAATAGATTTCTTTGAGTATTGCAATTAATAACATGGATCTGTGAAATTACAATACAACACACATAAAACATATTCATACCAAACATAATTGACAGATGGGCCGAACATACCAGTGGCAGAGCTAGCTTAGATAGTTTGTTAGATGTGACTATCCATGTTAAACTGCAGCATAGTATTTGGGAGGGCCAGAACTGTACAACCGACTAGTACAAGCAAACGCACAGACGCGCACGCGCGCACCCCCCACACACGTGTGAATGAACGGTGCTCCAACATAAAAACCCGTTTTCATGAGAAATCTCTGCTAAAAGCCGAATCCGTGGTAAGAGTCCGATCATATCATATCGTGTCACCAACACGTGCAAACGCATGAGAATTACAATAAGGGCCCCTGAACCAGGGCCGAACTGATACTCATTGACCTGGAGACCGTTGTCATTGAGGGGTATGTGGGGGTGGGTAGAACTGATATCCCGTGACCTGGAGACCGTTGTCATTGAGGGGTATGTGGGGATGTGTAGAAGACACTGAACCGTCTTTTGATATCCAACCTGCTTAGCTATCTAAGTTTATGAAATAATTGCAGCCACTAGCTTTTTCTATTTTCTACCCTAGACGGGAATCAAAGCGGGTGTGGGGTATATCCCGGAGGGTATCTGGACATATGAGAAAACACGCCCGTATGGGATAAAGTCTGGATTCCGAATCAAAAAGAGCTTATAGCAAGAATGTGCACGTCTACACTTTTACAACAGTATTTTTCACCGCCAATCATTCATACATTCTAATAATAATAATAATGTGTCCATTTATATAGCGCCAAACTCCACACTAGGTATGCTCATAGCGCTAACAATCAAGGTCATTATTACCCCGGATAACCCAAGCTGCCTGTTAGGCGCTAGAAGGTTATAGTCATATGACTTTTTTCCACCGGGTACCCATTTTCCTGCTGGGTGAACAGAGACAATTTTAACAAACACACTTGCCTAAGGTGAGACCACATGTGTCACATGTGCTTCGTTGTGGGGCAGGACTCAAGTCCTAGAAACTCTCAGGAGTCAAGCTGCCAAACACGGTCACCCATCCAAGGACTCTCCGAGCTCGACGCTGCTTAACTTCACCGATTTGTGACCCGAGCTTTAAGCACAGGACCACGCGCTATTACAAGCTATTACACACTGATCAGAAAGGCTTAGTGGTATCCTGCAACCAAATATACACACCTCTCACACCCCATCCCGAATCTATTTTAAGTTTCCTAGGGTTGGAAATATGAATATTTCCTCAGATGGGGAAACAGTTGTACATTTTTAAACACACACGCTCTGCTGATAGCAGCTGGTGGCTTTATAAAGTCTGTTGGAGCAATGGAGTTGACGACTGCTGACTTTGTAGTGTACATCTGGGCGAGGTCTGTCAATAGTTTATGACTGACGTTGTACTGTTGACCTTCATCTGCTGATGAAATAGTGATTCACGTGACAGTTCCATGATGCGTTAACTATGGTCAGTTCATTAACTCTCTGCTTGACTGACAACGTAGTCATGCGAGATACTGAAATAGGGAAGGCCAGTTGGCGTGTTAGGTCACACAGCTCTTTCAATATGTATATGCGATTTCAAAATCTAATTCTAATGGATCTAACTCGTCTGCCAACATCTTTACCAACGTCTGGGAGTGTATTTGATAGCTGATGCTGATTACATGTAACATGACATTTCCCTCTGTGAGCTGGTACGACTCATGCAGAACACAGCTGTACTAGGAATGTGCACGTTTTCCTTAGTCTTGGCAAGGTCTTCCAGGCTGGATGAGGTTCGATGGAGGCATGACAATTCAGAAATTGCTTCAGGTCTGGATCTGACGACGTCCGTTCCAGCCACATTTCTTCCACATGTTCCTGTATATAGAGATTCCAAAACGAGTGGGTGTTGAATATGGAAAATATTCCAACGAGATATTTTTAAACATTTTGATTTATTTGATTTTTAAAATATTGAGTTGGAATATTTTCCATATTCAACATCCACGAGTTTTGTGATCTATTTATTTTTTTGTGATCTATTTATTACACGCAGGGCGGTAACAGTGTATTCAGAGTCACGAACAAAAAACGTTGAGTGACATTACCGCGCAATAATACAAGGCTACGCGCAATAATACAAGGTAACAGAGGCGTTCCTTGGCCCCTTTGTCACAAGAATGTGCATAAAAGATAGGTGAAAGCAACAGAAAAGTGCATAATGAGCATAATATAAATTTGTATTTTCAAAACGATTGGTGTACAGGATAGATCGCAACGTATTTACTGAACACTGAACACTAAACACTGAACTCCGTCACTTAAACACTGGACGTGTGTCACAGCTAAACAACGACGACTCGCTGTGAACAAAATAACACCGCCTTGGTCGACTTAGATTTAAGAAGTTAAATGTCGTCAAGTCTCATTTTCTTTTCTGAAAAAGCTGTAATAAAGCTTCCTTCATAATTTTCTTCCATGAAGGTTGAGGCATACTGAAACCGGTGGTTCTGTAGGAAGGAATGTAGGTGAGGTTATAATCTTCAAGAATTTGGCATATGTCCGGAAGGAATCCTTGCGGATGTCATGTGCAGTTGTTCTTGAAGGCATGCCTGACTGACTGACTGAGTTTGGTTTTACGCCGCTTTTAGCAATATTCCAGTAACATCACGGCGGGGGACACCAGAAATGGGCTTCACACATTGTGCCCATGTGGGGATTCGAACCCGGGTCTTCGGCGTGACGAGCCAACGCTTTAACCATTAGGCTACCCCACCGCCCCTTGAAGGCATGAAGTCTGTTGAGGAAAACCTGGTGTGCAAGGAGGTGGTGTTGGGAATTGCAGAGTATACCAAGGAAGAAGAGTTTTTTCATATGTATTGCTTTGCTTCCACAGGGCTCCATCCTATCAATGAGTTACAAGTGTCTGTTGTTGATCTTGGTAAACCTTGACATACTTTTAGGCAGAAACGTTGGGCTCGTTCGAGAGCTATATTACGGCCTTCAGTAAGGTTACACCACAACTCTGAGCCGAATAGTGTTCCTAATGATCTCAGTATATTATTGTGTGGTCAGAGGCGCTAGCGAACCCGATGTTACAGCAATTATACCAAACCTTTGAAATACATGTTACATTAGTGTCAGTATTGTAACACTCCATTTACCAATTACCAGTTACTTACACGTGTATTAATATACGACAAACCTAACCCTGGTCATACGAGATTTAAAGGGTATTGAAATCTATGTCCTACTTTTACAGCATATACGTGTGTTACACATGCTGGAAAACACATGAAAACAATGGCCAGATTTACACACTTAAGAATGAAAAACATGTAAATACAGAGTTGAGTGTGCGTGTCTTTCAACACCTGCGTAAACGTGTACATATCTGACAGCCAAATGATACGTAGATTTCAAACGTTGTTCATATGGCTGCCGTATGAAGCGTTCATTTCCCCAGCGTAAGTAAATTTGTGAAATACTGTTCCTTCGTGAGGTGCGTTAGGCTTGCACCAACGTGATATCGTGGGATCAACCCCTAGATTTGCGCTATATCCGTCTTGTGCTCAAAGGCCAGCATCAATCTGGCCTTCCCCTAAATCAGTCTTTCACGCTGTGGTATATTTGAAACATTGTTCAAAGCGCAGTTAAAACCAGTGTACCCACCAGCTGAAAACTAAGTAAACCTTTAACAGTACATATAGGCTTCATCGCAGTGTATGAGCAAATAAGACAATTTGAAATCGTCATGCTGGAGGCATTGCTCCCGGGGTAATGGGAAGTATATCCACAAGATCGATTAAATATTGACGCTTACTCTGCAACAGTAAAATTATTTATTTGCAATATAACCAACTCGCCTCAGATTGGCAAGCCAATAGACTCGTTGACCTAAAGATCGATCTTTCACGCCTGTGCTCGAAGCGAGACTGTCAGAAGAAACGATGGACAGGTTAGGTGTGTGTGCGGTTCTCGCGATATACCTGCAACTTGTGTGGGGTAAGTTGGACAATTATTTTAACGACAAATATTTTCGAATACTCCTAACATCAACAAATTACACTGTAGTATAACTTCAGAAATATATATCATTCAGATCTGTTAAATGCTACTTTCTTTGCATTCCCTTCTGTTCATTTTCCGAAGGAGGCGGGCTGGGGGAAGGGTTGGAGCCGTTGAGAAACTATTACATGTGAGGTAAAAACATCATGCATCCAGACAATGTAAGAGACAAGCTGTGGGTCGAAATTGACAAATATCGGAAATCGAATGCCAATCAACAACAAACATTTGTGGGGTCGTCGGCGTCAGTGCTGCACGTGAAACTGGCAAAAATGCAGCCCACATGTAATAAAACATTGAGCTATCAATTAAGACTACCGTTCCATTTGTTTGCTGTAAAATTGTTGTAAAAGAAAACTTGCTTAAACTTTACAAAAAAAATTTTAAACTGCAACCTCAAGGTAAAGAAAAGCCGATGATACTCATGTTAAATACATCACAATCAAGTTACCACTGGCTGCTGGTTTCATTTCAAGCCACCAGCAAACATGGGTCTATACTTTCCCGGCAAACTAGCTTGAGGACGTAAAAGAGACGTAAAAAGTACATAAATACTCATTTCATCTAAAAATAACCTGCTTTATCACTGAAGAGCTAGGTACATAATTAGAGAAAAACAGCTTTGAAGAGTGGTGTTTAGTTGCATATTATATTTATCATTATATATACACATTGTTGCTGTCACTTCTCACGTATTGCACCTGCATGAGGGTAAACGGCTGTTGGCGTCCGGCTCTGCTTTTAATGAAATTGCCATTTACGATTTAGTGTGACAGGAAGAAAAAATAATCATTTTGTATGTTTTCAACTATTAATCCCATGGGCAACATACTCCCAGCTGAACAACGAGGAGAGTTCTATGGATATACAACTTCTTTAATATACTATGAACGACGTTTCGGTGTAGCTACTAGCACCGTTATCAAGCAAATTTTTGCTTGATAACGGTGTTAGTAGCTACAAATTATTTGCTTGATAACGGTGTTAGTAGCTACACCGAAACGTCGCTCATAGTATATTAAAAAGTATATCCATAGAACTCTTCGGTAAAGCTACTAACACCGTTATCAAAATAAATTTGCTTGATAACGGTGTTAGTAGCTTCTACATAACGGTGTTAGTCGCTACACCGAAACGTCGCTCATATCATATTAAAGAAGGTGTATATCCATAGAACTCTCCTCGTTGTTCATCACACCAACTTCTAAATGTCACTCAAACAAGTTATACTCACAGCTATTGAAACTTGGCATATGTCTATTTTGTTTTCAACCTACATATCCTGTTTCGTCATTTATCGCAGCACTCGGCATGTTTCCAGCTCTGTGACGGTGGTCTGGGCCAGACAATCTCGTGATTGGCATCATGTGCGTCGATGTACACATGTGAGATACGCTGACATGCATCAACCAAGTCAGCGAGACTGACCACCCGATCCCGTTAACTTAAATTCTAACCCGGACCTTCACGGCTCCCTTCACCTGGGTGACCCTGAAGACACAAAATACAAATATATATTCAGATACGTACGTAATTTATATATTTCTGGATTATTAAATTTAGGTTGGAAGGAGATTACAGGCTCTGAAGATGTCACGCTGATATTTAAGAATGGCGAGCCGTTATAGTTGTATTTTTTAATCGTTTATCGCCGCGTTCATGATTATTTCCGCTATATGTGAAGGAGAGAGTTTTTGGAGCAGACAAACCACAGATTATAATCTGCCCCACTCCATGAATATAATGGCTGGCAACTACCTGGTCACCATGGGAACCACATACCCCCGATTCGTTTACTCTCCTCTTCCGACTCCGTCCAAGTCTAGAACGGTATCTCAGAGAGTTTTCCTGAACCTTTTCAATTTTAAATCCATTGTAATATTATGAAGATTTCATAGCATGCTTTCTAATAGGAACATAAATTATATCAAGTGATACCCCAGTTTGGCTGCTGTGGTCAGTACAATCTCGGGTTAAAGGAACACCTCGTTTCCCTGTCGGCTTGTGGCAGACATTGTTGGCGGAATTATTATGAAATCTTTGAAGGGCATTTAGAAGTGGAATACATAAGAAAAGCAAGATTTATGGATGTCAGCTTCTTTATTGTGAATAACACGACGTTTCCTTCATCAGGTGAGTGTATGCTTCGCTCTTGCTCCTTCATCAGGTGAATGGCAGGAAGTATATATGCATACATGAGACACTACAAAGAAAAACGTATAACAAGCTTAGCAAGTTTAACATTAATATTGTTGAAGAATGAATATGTAAAACAAACACGAGGCCAGTTTTTTGCGTACCACTGGCCTCCTAGTGTTTGTATTGTATCCCATCATATCTATGATCATGTTGTTTAGTGTATCACTGGCCTCATATTTGTATTACATATTCATTCTTCAACATTGTTAAACTTGTTACACATGTTTTTTGTAGTGTCTTTGTAGTGTCTCTTCACCTGATGAAGGGCAAGCATACCCCGAAATGTCGTCGTGTACTCCCTACCATTCACCTGATGAAGGAGCAAGCATACACACCACCGAAATGTCGTGTTATATATCCCTCGTGTACTCCTGCCATTCACCTGATGAAGGAGCAAGCATACACTCCGAAATGTCGTGATATATATCCCTCGTGTACTCCCCTACCATTCACCTGATGAAGGAGCAAGCATACACTCCGAAATGTCGTGATATATATCCCTCGTGTACTCCCTACCATTCACCTGATGAAGGAGCAAGCATACACTCTGAGAATGTCGTGTTATATATCCCTCGTGTACTCCTACCATTCACCTGATGAAGGAGCAAGCATACACTCGAAATGTCGTGTTATATATCCCCCTTATACTCCCTACCATTCACCTGATGAAGGAGCAAGCATACACTCCGAAATGTCGTGTTATATATCCCCCTTATACTCCCTACCATTCACCTGATGAAGGAGCAAGCATACACTCCGAAATGTCGTGTTATATATCCCCCTTATACTCCCTACCATTCACCTGATGAAGGAGCAAGCATACACTCCGAAATGTCGTGTTATATATCCCCCTTATACTCCCTACCATTCACCTGATGAAGGAGCAAGCATACACTCCGAAATGTCGTGTTATATATCCCCCTGATACTCCCTACCATTCACCTGATGAAGGAGCAAGCATACACTCCGACATGCCGTGTTATTCACTACACAGAAGTTGACATCCATAAATCTTGCTTTTCTTGGGAATCATTGTGGTGATATACACCATCAAACTAGAAGTAGTATAGCAGACGGACTTGCCCCCATTTCAGAGAACGACATCAGTTCTACGACCGTCGTAGTCTATGTTAAAGTATAGACGTTACCTCTGCCGTACCACAATGCTACTTTTGTGAAGCGGGACACAGAATGGTAATGGAAGTTTGTGAGTGAGTAAACTGCGTTTAGCAGAGTAAACTGCGTGTAGCAATATACCTAGAAGCTCAAAATGGGGGACACCAGAAATGGTGCTAGCGCAATGCGCCTGGTATATGTGACGTTACGGGCATGTCGGACATCCGCTTGTTCATGAACAAAGAACACCTGATCTAAGCTAGACTGAGCGGTAACTTGAAAGACATCAATTTTCCTTGTTATAGTTAATTGTATTCATGTAAATAATCTAAGCAGCTTAAGAAAACCAGGTCATATTTGATACTTGACGGAGAGGGTCGTTTCTTTCATCGGCAACAGTTATATAATCGGTAGTACTAGAGATGTGTGGGGATGTAGGTACTCGAAGCTGGGCCCCGTCTCGCATATCGCGAACGTTAGATGGTTATATTCATGTGATAGGTGATGGCACTGCGACAGCAAGAAACTATTGCCCTAACAACCAGTCATGAAAGTGTAATGTTAATAAAGAAGCAAGACAAGTGAAACTGTAATTAAACTTATCGAGGGGGCGCCCATTTTTCTTATTGTCCGTTTCGTCTGAAGTGTTATCACGACAAAGTTATGCACGAGCGATTAGAGGGACGGTAGAAAACTCCACCAGAAGCATAGAGAAGCCCTTGTAAGATGAAATAAAAAAGACCTAATTGACAGCAGAATAGAACATAATATACAGTGATCAAATATAACACTATAACATCGCCAACAAACAATATCTTGTTTAACATTTCAGAAAAAACACCTACCACTGAGAAATACTTGTGCTGTACTGCAATAGCAGATGAATATGATAATACTAATTCATTACTGCAAACAGGTTTAACTAAATATATATTCTGAATAAAACACCTCTATGCGTTATGTTATAGTAAGTTAAATTAATCTGATAATTAATAGACTCAATGGTGTTTTTCTGAAATATGTTTTCTCAGAGGCACGTAGTTTTTAGTAGTTCTCCTATGGACTTCTTAAGTGTAAATAAATAATGTTTTGTCGTTATTAGTAAGTGAGTGAGTTGGGTTTTACGCCGCTTTTAGCAATATCACGGCGGGGGACATCAGAAATGGGCATCACACATTGTACCCATGGGGAATTGAACCCGGGTCTTCGGCGAGACGCGCGAGCGCTTTAACCACTCGGCTGTCCCACCTCCCCGTCGTCAGTAAGACAGAAGTTCGGAATGATCGGCGGTTTAAAACCTTAACACTAAAATACCTGAAAAACTGATAAGAAATACCCTCACCCCGTGTTACAACAACTATTGTAGTTGTCGTGGCTGTAAGCGAAATTAATTGTAGTCAACATAAGGCTCCACCCTTATCGATATTTTCGTTCAAGGCAAATAATAGTTTGGGTACAGAATGTGTACATGTTGGTAGACATATTTAATCAATAATTATTTCTTAACATTTTAATCTAACAAATAATTCGCTTCCTTTATTACCATTACTTTATAACACCAGATTTTTTTTGGTTGACAACATCATGTTGTAAGATGTCAGTACAATAGCCAGCCGGCGACAATGGCTGAGAAGTATGGAATCCTGGCAGGGACATTGTCGCATTGTCGCTTTTGGTAAAGAAAACAACACATTATTCAAAACGCGATGATTGGTCAAAATGCTGCATTGTCACATTGCCACGATGTCCAGCTTTGGTCAGCTTTGTCGTAGTTTGATTGATATCTAAGGACAACACCGCGAAAATGTCCCTACCAGTACACCATAGACAACATGCAAGAAACTCCTCCCACCTGTGGCTGTCCTTAATGCACTTCACAATGACCTGATGTTCGATCCGGCGTTACATGGGCAGTAATGGCTGCACAATAATAGCCTTATCAATATCATCTCTACACAAATACACTTACACATTTAACATGGATTTTAAGTGGTCAGCTATAGTTATCTGTACAGATCAAAGCGCGGTCTGTGTACGTGACACTGTAAACAAATGTCCCACATGTTGCCGAATTATTGCTTGGTGTGTACTGCTTAGTACTAAAAACAACGTTACCTCAGTTGTTGGTAAGAGCTTCAACATACAGAATGCAATCAAAACCTAAATATTCCCAAAGTAATGCCAAGATACTGTATAGTGAAAAGTGGCAAAGATATTACTTCACACGTGAAGCGCGAAAATATCGGAACACGTCAGATAGTTCGATCGGTTGTGTTTATGATCGCAATGAGCAATATGCTCGGCATGTAAATATTGAAGGGTGGACCAGACAATAAAGCGATCGATACAGCGAGCAAGAGACGTCTTACTGGGCACAATAGCACCGTCAGTTCTAAAGTGAAAGTACTCCTCAGATGATTTTTAAAGTTACTACATATATCACACCACACTTCTCTAAAAATAGATAATGCTTTTCTCTCAAAAATACTAACTATCAGCCCTCAGGGAAGCCACCATATAATGTATTAAAAAAAGTTACGTATTTAGATTACAATATTAAATTAAAAATTTCGAATGAATTGCAACGTTGCATTAAATCGACTCTCGCGTCCTATTTCAAGCGAACCCCATAGAGTTATGTCGCTTGGAGCGCTCTTTACGAATATCCTACGCACAAATTGTGATTGAGACCAGTTCGGCAAACACCCACGTGCACCAGTTTGCGAAGTACGGAGCAAGTGTTTACATTCCATATGCAAGTGTTCTCTGTTTGGAAGCTGTTCGCCTTCAATTATCGATTTCAGGCAAGTCGTAAGGGATAATAAGTCTTTTATTGCATCAGTAGGAAGCTAAAGTGAATGTATATGCCCCAATATGTATAAATTAGGCCAAAGTATTGTCGAAAATGTGTGACATTGTGCCTTTAAATTGCAGAGCGCTGTTTGAAACATCTAATCAAAACATGCGTCTCTCTAAGATATCCACAAGTTGGAAAGTCCAGTGGTTGATATTTTTTATGTGAAAAAGTGGAGAATTTCCAAAGAACTCTTTTGTAAACAGTGAAACATAAATAAAAGATAAATATGAACGTGCTGTAAGGGGAATATTCCATACCATGAACGAAAACTATCAGAATCGGAACTGACCACGTGTTCGTTTCTGAAGGAACTGGCTAATTACATTTTACCCTGGGGCCTTAGGTTACCTTGGCGGTTAGGTAGACTTGTGGGCGTAGCATCGTCGCGCGGAAAGCCCGTATGGAGTATGGAGATAGGTAAAATGTTTAGTTGCTAAAGTAGATATTGTTTCAAAGCTATAAGCCTCAATTTGTACACGAGGTGTATTATTTATGAAAAAGAAAAATGTTTTCATATTTTTTTTTATTGAGGACAATTTATATTTCACCAGTCTGAATCCTAATTATTTTTTCCAGCATTTTCTGGCACAATTCATTTTCTTTAAACATCCCCAAACCCGTAACCCGAATAGCCAGTGGTAGGTTCCTAACACGATGGTGAGTTCATGCGACCTTATTTCAAAATAGGGCACGCTTTGGCTACCGTCCTAAAACCTAGGATTCTCTTGTCATGGCCGTCGTCGATGAGGAGGAAGGGGTCCTCAGAACTCGTCGTCTTGTATTCATCAGGGAAGACCAGGTCTTCTCGTCTGAGGGGGAAGTGGTGGCATCACCGCTCGTCTGGCTCTGTAGAGAGAGCTCCGGGCACCCGGGAAGGTGGGCAGGGCAGCAATCATGGCTTTGATCTCATCATTCCAACTTCCATTTCTCATGTCGATAACGCCTTCTTCGTAGAGGGACTGCATGGGCTGGAGGGTCGAAGCTGCCTTCACCTTCAGCTTTTCTAGCGTCTCCTTCGCCTACAACAAAGCAAAGAATTATTAACCATTTGGGTCCAACAAAGAAAGAAAGAATCATTAACCATTTGGTTCCAAACTTTTCTTTTTTATTAAGCAGCTTACTGAAACACTGTTATAAAATTCGACAAAACTGCAATCACTGAATAATATGTATACATATATAAGAATTTAAACTCTGACCTTAATATCACTCTGACAGTTTGATGATTGTGTTCATCGTTCACCATGGTGACGATGTCATTCGTTGTTGATGCAGTGGATTTGCAGCCTTTTGCAGTACATATCCAAGATATCCAGTCTCGTTTTCTCTTGCTGACTCTGTACGTGAACATGTTCAATACTGGCACTCTGCTAAGTGTTACTTTTCAATCAATTGAAAGTGACATGTGTGACGAGTTCACCTTATCAAAACATCTAGAGTAGATTATCCGCAACGCTAATTAAGCCTAATCAGAACCTAACCTTCAAAGGAAACCGCAGGACGGTGTCCTGAGACTAGTGGAAAATCGCAAGGTCGGCGTCTGAGACGACACCGTTTTAATTGCTTCCTCGGATTCTGGGCGTCACATCTGGAGAAACGTACCTTTTACTGTACCGGCGGTATCTTATGGTGGCTGAGAGGGGGACATCGCTTATCGCGATACAGCTACGGCCACGATAAGGCCATATACAAATATTGCTTTCTCGTCTCGTCTTATCGCTTTCTCGTCTCGTCTTATCGCTTTATCGTCCCGTGCTATCGCTTTCTCTGCTCTTGTTATGGCTTTATGTCTTTCTAGTGACCATAATGGCTGTCGGCGATAAAGCGATCTTCCTTCTTGATCACCATACTATCGGTAAAATCTCAGATGTTTCCAAGATGACACCAAATTCATATTGATATGTTCACAAACATTATATGGAGGCACGTGGCATATGAAAATAAACTGAGGTGAACCTTAAACATTTTCATGGTGGAAATTTCAAATCAATACAGATCCACCACTAGGTCATGAAGTCAAGCGAAAACAATTTTCAGTGTGAGTGAGTGATTGGGTTTACCGACGCTTTGAACATTGGGTTAAACTGCGGCGGCGTGATCATTGAGGTCAGCTGGAACTGGTGGACATCTTGTAGGTTCACCGATTTGGTAAAGGGTGTGCCCCTAGCATAACGAAAGAATAATCTGAATTATTTCTTACCCTATTGTCATTGTATCCCAATTGCGTAGATCGATGCTCATACTGTTGATCACTGTATTGTCTGGTCCAGATTCGATTATTTACAGACCGCCGCCATATTGCTGGAATATTGCTGAGTAAAACTAAACTCACTCACTGACTCTTAGAGCCCATTGATATTTGTTTCCCAGGAGCTACAACACCGGTGGATGAGTTTCTGTGCGGCAGCGACTATTGTGTGGAGCAGGATGGAGTTTACTGTGATACCAAGTCGAAGAGCTGCAAGTGCCCCGCAGGAATGATTGGGAACGGCAGGGTCGAGTGTGTTGATCCCAGTAAGTTGTCTCACTTCATACTGTAATCGGTACAGTAGCAGGTCACCGGTACAATGTCCTTGGAATAGGTTCTGGTATATACGAATGCACTATTTCGATACTCATAACCTGGTTATAATATGAGGCGTAGACATAAAGGTGAATCATTTCTACAATAGCAGGTTGGTGCCAGAGTTCAGAGTTGCCAGGAGACAGATTGTTCCCATCAGGGAACAGTTACTACCAGTGAATGGTGTTTCGTTGTTGTCAATAGATGGATTGTTACTACCAGGCAACACTACGCCTACTATCTGGGAACTGTATCAATGTGTTGATAGGAGGTGGATTGTTACTGCTAGTATGACGGTGTTGCTGGAAGAATGAATTTTACTGTCCCTATGGAACAGCGTGTCTGTGTTTCTAGGAGATAAACTGATACTTATAGAGAACAGTGTGACGTTGTTGCTAGGAGATAGATTTTTGCTACCAGGGAACAGTGTGACGTTGTTGCCAGGAGATAAACTGATACTTATAGAGAACAGTGTGGCGTTGTCGCCAGGAGATACACTGATACTTATAGAGAACAGTGTGACGTTGTTGCCAGGAGATAAACTGATACTTATAGAGAACAGTGTGACGTTGTTGCCAGGAGATAAACTGATACTTATAGAGAACAGTGTGACGTTGTTGCCAGGAGATAAACTGATACTATAGAGAACAGTGTGACGTTGTTGCCAGGAGATAAACTGATACTTATAGAGAACAGTGTGACGTTGTTGCCAGGAGATAAACTGATACTAGTAGAGAACAGTGTGACGTTGTTGTTAGGAGATAAACTGATACTTATAGAGAACAGTGTGACGTTGCTGCCAGGAGATTTTAACTTACCAGAGAACAGTGTGACGTTGTTGCCAGGAGATAAACTGATACTTTATAGAGAACAGTGTAACGTTGTTGCCAGGAGATAAACTGATACTTATAGAGAACAGTGTGACGTTGTTGCCAGGAGATGGATTTTTACTACCAGGAACAGTATGACGTTGTTGCCGCTAGGAGATAAATTGATACTTACCAGGGAACAGTATGTCTGTGTTGCTAGGAGATGGATTGATACTATAGAGAACAGTATGACGTTGTTGCTAGGAGATAGATTTTACTACCAGGAACAGTATGTCGTTGTTGTTAGGAGATGGATTTTTACTACCAGGGAACAGTATGACGTTGTTGTTAGGAGATGGATTTTTACTACCAGGGAACAGTATGACGTTGTTGCTAGGAGATGGATTTTTACTACCAGGGAACAGTATGACGTTGTTGTTAGGAGATGGATTTTTACTACCAGGGAACAGTATGACGTTGTTGCTAGGAGATGGATTTTACTACCAGGGAACAGTATGACGTTGTTGCTAGGAGATGGATTTTTACTACCAGGGAACAGTATGACGTTGTTGTTAGGAGATGGATTTTACTACCAGGGAACAGTATGACGTTGTTGCTAGGAGATGGATTTTTACTACCAGGGAACAGTATGACGTTGTTGCTAGGAGATAGATTTTTACTACCAGGGAACAGTATGTCGGTGTTGCTAGGAGATGGATTTTTACTATCAGGGAACAGTATGACGTTGTTGTTAGGAGATGGATTTTTACTACCAGGAACAGTATGACGTTGTTGCTAGGAGATGGATTGTTACTACCAGGGAACACTATGACGTTGTTGCTAGGAGATGGATTGTTACTACCAGGAACAGTATGACGTTGTTGCTAGGAGATGGATTGTAACTACCAGGGAACAGTATGACGTTGTTGCTAGGAGATGGATTTTTACTACCAGGGAACAGTATGACGTTGTTGCTAGGAGATGGATTGTTACTACCAGGGAACAGTATGACGTTGTTGCTAGGAGATGGATTGTTACTACTAGGGAACACTATGACGTTGTTGCTAGGAGATGGATTGTTACTACTAGGGAACAGTATGACGTTGTTGCTAGGAGATGGATTGTTACTACTAGGAACAGTATGACGTTGTTGCTAGGAGGTGGATTGTTACTGCTAGGGAACACTATGACGCTGTTGCTAGGAGGTGGATTGTAACGTAGGGAACAGTATGACGTTGTTGCTAGGAGATGGATTGTAACTACTAGGGAACAGTATGACGTTGTTGCTAGGAGATGGATTTTTACTACCAGGGAACAGTATGACGTTGTTGCTAGGAGATGGATTTTTACTACCAGGGAACAGTATGACGTTGTTGCTAGGAGATGGATTTTTACTACCAGGGAACAGTATGACGTTGTTGCTAGGAGATGGATTGTTACTACCAGGGAACAGTATGACGTTGTTGCTAGGAGATGGATTGTAACTACTAGGGAACAGTATGACGTTGTTGCTAGGAGATGGATTGTAACTACTAGGGAACACTATGACGTTGTTGCTAGGAGATGGATTGTAACTACTAGGGAACAGTATGACGTTGTTGCTAGGAGATGGATTGTAACTACCAGGGAACACTATGACGTTGTTGCTAGGAGATGGATTGTAACTACCAGGGAACACTATGACGTTGTTGCTAGGAGATGGATTGTTACTACCAGGGAACACTATGACGTTGTTGCTAGGAGATGGATTGTAACTACTAGGGAACACTATGACGTTGTTGCTAGGAGATGGATTGTAACTACCAGGGAACACTATGACGTTGTTGCTAGGAGGTGGATTGTTACTACTAGGAAACACTATGACGTTGTTGCTAGGATGTGGATTGTCACTACCAGGGAACACTATGACGTTGTTGCTAGGAGGTGGATTGTTACTGCTAGGGAACAGTATGATGTTGTTGCTAGGAGATGGAATTTTACTACCAGGGAACAGCATGACGTTGTTGCTAGGATATAGATTGTTACTACCAGGGAACAGTATGACGTTTTGCTAGGAGATGGACTGCTTACTACCAGGGAACAGTATGGCGTTGTTGTTAGGAGATGGATTGTAACTACTAGGAACACTATGACGTTGTTGCTAGGAGATGGATTGTAACTGCTAGGGAACACTATGACGTTGTTGCTGGGAGATGGATTGTAACTACCAGGGAACACTATGACGTTGTTGCTAGGAGATGGATTGTAACTGCTAGGGAACACTATGACGTTGTTGCTAGGAGATGGATTGTAACTACCAGGGAACACTATGACGTTGTTGCTAGGAGGTGGATTGTTACTGCTAGGGGAACAGTATGATGTTGTTGCTAGGAGATGGATTGTTACTACCAGGGAACAGCATGACGTTGTTGCTAGGATATAGATTGTTACTACCAGGGAACAGTATGACGTTGTTGCTAGGAGATGGACTGTTACTACCAGGGAACAGTATGGCGTTGTTGTTAGGAGATGGATTGTAACTACTAGGGAACACTATGACGTTGTTGCTAGGAGATGGATTGTTACTGTTAGGGGAACAGTATGACGTTGTTGCTAGGAGATGGATTGTTACTACCAGGGAACACTATGACGTTGTTGCTAGGAGATGGATTGTAACTACTAGGGAACACTATGACGTTGTTGCTAGGAGGTGGATTGTTACTACTAGGGAACACTATGACGTTGTTGCTAGGAGATGGATTGTAACTACCAGGGAACACTATGACGTTGTTGCTAGGAGGTGGATTGTTACTACTAGGAAACACTATGACGTTGTTGCTAGGATGTGGATTGTTACTACCAGGGAACACTATGACGTTGTCGCTTGGAGATGGATTGTTACTACTAGGGAACAGTATGACGTTGTTGCTAAGAGGTGGATTGTTACTACTAGGGAACAGTATGACGTTGTTGCTAGGAGGTGGATTGTTACTACCAGGGAACAGTATGACGTTGTTGCTAGGAGGTGGATTGTTTACTACCAGGGAACACTATGACGTTGTTGCTAGGAGGTGGATTGTTACTACTAGGGAACACTATGACGTTGTTGCTAGGAGATGGATTGTTACTACCAGGGAACACTATGACGTTGTTGCTAGGAGGTGGATTGTTACTACTAGGAAACACTATGACGTTGTTGCTAGGATGTGGATTGTTACTACCAGGGAACACTATGACGTTGTCGCTTGGAGATGGATTGTTACTACTAGGGAACAGTATGACGTTGTTGCTAGGAGGTGGATTGTTACTACTAGGGAACAGTATGACGTTGTTGCTAGGAGATAGATCATACTGCCTTGGAGTCATGTCTGCTTACTGATAATTTGGTCTTCTTTGGAGAATATCCCGACATTTTATCATGAGAGAATATTCCGACATTTCACCGTGAAACTCCCGAGTCTTTGAGAAAAACAGAATAGGGGAATGGCGAATAGGAGTGGCGAATAATAATAGTGAAAATCAATAGTAAAAGTGAAAAGATACAAAGTAAGACAGTGACTTGTGTTTGTAAATATTAACAGTAATGGGTAATTTTAATGTATTGCCATTACTGGAAATAGTAAATAGTGATTGTGAAACCATATTGTTCTTGTCCCTCTGCAGCCAAGAAGTGCTTGTGTACCATTCACGGAGACCCGCACATCATCAGTTTCGGCCATGACTCTTTCACATTTCCGCTTCCGTGTCATCACGTGCTGGCTGATTTTGTGACGCCCCAAACCCCAAGAACGCCGAACGGGTGTAAGGTGACCATCGCTGGGAGAGCGACGTACCCGCCCAAAGGAAAGAATACAATCTACTCTTTTGAACGCCAGATCGAGGTGGTCGTTTCAACTGCTACCAACGTGTTTGCTACTATTCTCAACGAACAAGGCTTTGCAGTAAGATATGATTTCATTCAAATAATGAACTAACGGTTGATGAACATACGCTTAACATTGTGCCACATCCACTGTACTTGGAAATCTCTCTCTCTCTCTCTCTCTCTCTCTCTCTCTCTCTCTCTCTCTCTCTCTCTCTCTCTCTCTCTCTGCTTCTCTCTCTCTCTCTCTCTCTCTCTCTCTCTCTCTCTCTCTCTCTCTCTCTCTCTCTCTCGCTCTCTCTCGCTCTCTCTCTTTCTCTCTCTCTCTCACACACACACACCATCATCATCGTCATCATCAATAATCTCTCTCTCTCTCTCTCACCACCACCACCACCACCATCATCATCATCATCATAAAATATAATGCGGTTCAAGCCAAACTCATCATTTATGCTGATTTCAGTGGAAAAAACTCCGACGGGTGGGGCCCAGGACGAGGAGGAGGTCAAGAATTGGGCGTCTCACAGTCCAAACTGGACACGACTACAGCGACTTCTTCTTCCTCCACGTCATGCCATGCGACATCACCGTCAAGTTCCGAGACTGGGATGGGTATTTCGCTTTGTCCAAACCTGTTGGTTCCAAAGGCACGGCAGGTGCTTGCGGCACTTGTGACACCGCTATCAGCCCCGGGGACAAGGCCAAAAAGCTCCCAGACAAGACAGAGATGGAACGCTATCTTGAGGCACTCTCTAACGTCAGCCCAATCGATGGATCCCCGGCCAATCAATACCCGTATGTAGCATTTTGTCGCCGTATACTCACTTTCAAAAGAAATCTATCTATTCTTATCTTTAGGTCGTGGTTTGACCAGAGCATGATGGAGCGTTCTTGTCAAGTGAGTGAGTAAGTGAGTTTAGTTTTACGCCGCACCCAGCAATATTCAAGCTGCATAGTGTTTCTTGACAAGACGGACACTAATATTGTACAGCAGAATACCATTGTGTCTTTTAGCTGGCAGGTGTTAGGTAAACTACAAAGCAAAAATACAGTATACACCCATGTTTGAAGGTGGCTAAATAATGAAACGGAATTATTTTTCGATGGTGATGCGTTTGATACGGACATCACAGTTGCGTTTTTATCGTACGCCGCTAGTGTTTCGGCGATTGTTGGGAGCCAGTTTTGAAACCGATTGTAATTGTTTTGGTCACATCCAGTTGTCAAACGTATTCTTTAGTTTGCTCGACAGTGTAGTTTTGAGTCCGTCACACTTGATATTAAATGACTGAGTAAGGCTCTCAGCAATATTCCATCCAAATGTACATATGCTTCACACATATATACCCCATGTCGGATTTACGCTAGTATCTTTCAGCGTGAGAGATAACGCGGAAACTGTAAGTCCCTGAGATTGTCACGGTTGCAAGTTATCATGGGTTCGACTATTAGATTCGATCGATTTGATGTCTTGGTTTACTACACCCTTCAAAATTGATAAACGTTCAAATATTGCGTAACTTTTGGCCCACTTCCCACTAACGCGCCGTGCTGTAACTGAAATACTGCGTAAAGCGGAATTGAACCCATGATGGAGAGAATCGGTACTGTTAGGGGGACGGCGCAATATAACCGGTTTACCGGTATATACCAAAACGTTCAGACATGAAAACGATACGTATTGCGATACGTTGATCGAAAGGAGGGGTATTTTACATTTACATGCATTCGGAAAACTTGGTAACACTCGAAAATCTTCGGATATTTTCGTCTTTTACACCGGAAGCCATGCGTGTGTTGTAAATTTTATTGTGGTGCCAAATACTAGGGCAAAGGCATCGGTAAGGCAGCATTTTGGGTTGAAAAGTTCACGGTAGATGGAACTATTGACTGACATGCCGTGACTGAGAAGCCGTTACTGACATGCTGTTACTGACATGCCATGACTGATATGCCTGTTTTTGCACATGCCGTATTCTAACATGCCGTGACTGACAAGCCGCTACTGACATGCTGATACTGACATGCCGACATATGGAGGCCGTGACAGTGGCGTTACAAGTAAAAATGACATGCCATGACTGACATGCCGTTACTGACATGCCATGACTGACAAGCCGTGACTGACATGCCATGACTGACATGCCGTGACTGACATGCCGTTATGACAAGCCATGACTGACATTTAACTGACATGCCGTGACTGACATGCCGTGACTGACAAGCCGTGACTGACATGCCGTGACTGACAAGCCTGACTGACATGCCATGACTGACATGCCATTACTGACATGCTGTTACTGACAAGCCGTGACTGACATGCCGTTACTGACATGCCGTTACTGACAATACCGTTACTGACATGCCGTTACTGACATGCCGTGACTGACATGCCGTGACTGACATGCCGATACTGACATGCCGTTACTAACAGGTCGTGACTGACATGCCGACTGACTGAAATGCGTGACTGACATGCCGTTACTGACATGCCTTGACTGACTGACATGCCGTGACTTACATGCCGTGACTGAATACTATTGACAGTGACTGACATGCCGTGACTGACATGCCGTGACTGACATGCCGTGACTGACATGCCATGACTGACATGCCGTGACTGACATGCCGTGACTGACATGCCGTGACTGACATGCCGTGACTGACATGCCGAAACTGACATGCCGTTACTAACAGGTCGTGATGGACTTGACGTGGCTGACTTGCCTTGACTGAGACGCCGTGACTGACATACCGTGATAACTGAATACTATTGACACACTCTCCTTTCATCCCACATGGAGTATTGTCATTTCTACAGCCCTTATATTGACTGTGCAGCAGAGCAACGATAATTTATTGTCTCGCCACAGGTGCCGTAGCCAACTCTTCACATCCACAACAACAATTTCTGGGAGTATATATGAGAGAGAGAGAGAGAGAGAGAGAGAGAGAGAGAGAGAGAGAGAGAGAGAGAGAGGTGAATTTAGTTTTACGCCGCTTCTAGCGATATGGCTTACCCTACCGCCCCTCGTGGATGTGAATACTATCACGGCGGGGCACGTCTGAGCAGAGTGTAAAGGATTCACACATTGTACACATTGATCGGCTTTGTATGTCAGCGCACACACGCACACACGCACGCACACACACGCCGATCCATATATGCAAGAATCGTGAACACGCCCCATTCCATAACACCCCCACACTGTAAAGCTGAAACCACACACCTTGGAATTTTCACAAGGGCCACATTCGCGCTCTTTGGTTTCTCAAGTGGATAAACCTCTAATTTCTGCATCTTCGGACTTCCCTACCCTTCCACTCGGGTGCCTCCAACGTTGCCTTTAAAAGACTTCTCCTGTCCACAGATCCTGCGTCACTTTGACCGACCTCCAGAATTCGTGTCCAGCTGATAAGAAAACTGCTGCCGCGGAGGTGTGCAGCATGCTGCTGCAAGATTTAAAGACCAACGAATGTCTTGTAAAGGGAGCTGGCACCAATGGGGTGGAGGATCGCTTCGTGTCATGCTTCAAGAGTGTCTGTGAGGGAGCGGCGCCTTGCGGACTTATCCCACAAGCGTTCGAGGGCTGTGCAGACACCCCTGTGGTCAAAGCATACCAGGCTAGCAAATGCAAGTGATATGAATAATAATAATGATCTATACATCATTGTCCATTGCTTTAGACACATTTAAGCGAAATGATGATATTTTATGTTTTGTTTGGACTTGGAGGTTTATGTCTCTGTGTTATAACTTTAAAATGGATTCTCTTCTTTAAAATGTATTAATGCACAGTGCAGTAAACTCAAACGGAAATATCATTGACAGAGAAACTTGATATCTGCCATGTTGCAATAATTGTTATATATCCGTTGTTGTGTTTGAAGCATTATAAACAATGACAGACATGATACTTGGCTTTGTGTTACTTTCCATTAGAGTATTTGGTAGGTCATAATATAGGTGTGTCAATTTGACACTGCGTCCATTGGAGCTCGCTGAGTAAGTGAGTGGGGGGACACCAGAGGGTGTCACCAGACTAAACGCCCTAATCACTGGACTACACGACCAAATTGACACGCTAAGTAACGAGATTAGGTTTTAAATGCATATTATGCATTAGATACATTTTGCGCCACGAAAGTGCATTGAATTAATACCATCTTTGCCACACTTTTAGTTTGATTTTTAAATTTTCTTTGACTATCGTTTTTCCCAAGTTTTGTGTTTAACACTTTTTGGGGCGGTGGGGTAGATTAATGGTTAAAGCGTTCGCTCGTCACACCGAAGACCCGTGTTCGAATCCCCACATGGGTACAATGTGTGAAGCCCATTTCTGGCGTCCCCCGCCGTGATGTTGCTGGAATATTGCTAAAAGCGGCGTAAAACCAAACTCAGTCAGTCAGTTTAACACTTTTTGTAAAATCATCCGAAATAGATGAGTTTACGGGAGAACAAATCGTGTCATTTCTACCCATTAAAACTTCATCAATGTCAAAATGTACGTTTCTGATGCAGGCTATAGTATGCAAAATGAGATGTATTCTCCATAGGTTCGCGTACATAATATATTTTATGAAAAACGTCATATACCATTCATCCTTTATTTCTTTTATCCTAACTGATATACAAAATAATTGATTAAGGGATTGTCTCAGTACATTTTTCATGCCTGCGCTCTTGTTGAAACGCAAGTGCAAATGCATATTCCCGTCTAAACAGTGCTGCGAGTAGTTGTTAGCATCCATCGTTGATTGTGACGTAAGTTTGTTTTATTTTTACCTGTAAAATGGTTTTTTTGGAGTATGACTAGAGGTCCAAATTAACAGGCCTATTAAGATAGTTATTTTAATATTTGTTAAAACAACCTATCTTAATAAAGTGATAAACAAATAAACGCCAAAAAACATTTTATTTCTATTTCCGTGAGTACGTTAGAAAGCGACATAAACCATACTCACGTCAGCCGGAAACAATCCCGTGTGGACCATGAAAACTAGTGGTTGATAACACGAACATATATCCACGCACTTTTGCGGCGGTTTGTTAATACTCAACTGGCTTGAGACTACAACCAAGTCAACGAAGTCACCAGGTCCTACCATGACTTTGTCATCTATTGGCCGTAGCTTGCTGTGTATATCAACCGCTGTTCGCCCAAGCATATCTACATTAAGATCATACACATCTTAACATTGACAGCTATTTAATTCTTAGTGAAGAACTGTTGCCTAGTGGACATTTCTAATGTGGATATGTGTCAACACTTTTGGTCAGATTTTCACAAAGTGAATTATCACATACTCGAACACCTCATCCCCACCCCCCAAACCATAACATTTTAACGATCCCTAATTTATTATTTCCCACTGGTAAGTGATAATTCCCAAGTCAAAACAATAATTTAACCGAGGAATCAGTCAGATTATTTGTTTGTGTCAAACCAACAAAGAACAAGAATGCTAACTATTGTATTCTAAGTGAAGATCCTGGTCAGAATTGGTCTTCAGTAACTCCTCACTATAGCTAGCGTTTATCGTAACGGAAGGCTTTGACTCGGGACCCTGGTCTTCACTCGTGTTTATCGTAAGAGGCGACTAACAGGATCGGGTGGTCAGGCTCGCTGACTGGGTTGACACATGTCATTGTATCATCAATAGATCGATGTTCATGCTGTTGATCACTGGATTGTCTACAGACCGATTATTTACAGACCGCCGCCATATAGCTGGAATATTGCTGAGTGTGGCGTTAAACTACAAACAAACCAACCCAATCTAAAAGTAGCTACGTTTTCAGATCACAACAAATCACTTGAAAGGAATGGTAGTACAAAACAGAGTATACGTAGCTATACACATTCAAAGGCAGTACAATATGAAAGCAGTCATTTTAGCAAAAAAGACAGAGTTATAATATTCACTTCACTACAAGTGGTCAGGCTTCGAAAATATGCCACGGCGTGAGTGAGTTTAGTTTTAAGCCTCACTATTCAAGATATGTGGCGACAGTCTGGACCAGACAATCCAGTGATCAACAGCATGAACATCGATCTACGCTATTGGGATACGATACGTTAGTCGCCTTTTACGCCAAGCATGGATTGCTGAAGATCAAGTCTAACCCGGATTCACGGTCGGCTCAGTGAAAACTGATATTCACGCAACTAGTGGTCTTTTTTGTAACGTGAGATCGCCGAAGCAAAAACACTCCCATTATGTATATATAGTGTACCTGCTCCGGGACTTTCTATGATGGTTTGGTTTAGACTATGCTGGAAAGACCCATGCAGCTGAAGTAGATATAGTTGTAGGCACAGGGGTTCGAATCACTGTTTAGACAATAATATTTTAAAATATAAATCTAGATAGATTTTTTGCAACCGTATATGGTTTTCATATGTTATACGAACTTATATTTCAAATTTGAACAAAATTGGTGAAGAAATGGATTTTCTTCCGCTACACTCATTACATTACGCACCTACGTATGTAGTGCGTGTAGCGGGAGGATTTTCTAAAAAAAATCCATTTCTTCACCGATTTCGTTCAAATTTGAAATATAAGTTACTCATAACATATAAAAACAATATACGTTTGCAAAAATCTAGATTTTAATTTTTTAAATTTATTTTCCAAACAGTGATTCTAACCCTGTGGTTCTAGGCCCCTACAGTCTAACTCTACCGTCCCTACTGAATGTCAGCTGAAGAAATGTAATACACTTGAAACACTTACATGTGACTAACATTGCCACATAACACATTGAGACGGTCAACTATATAACTTGTACCCAGTCCAACATTGGTGTGTTGATATGTTGACAATGCATCCAGCAAATAAATGACGTTTTGAGACATTGTCAGCTATAAAATGCTGTCCAACATAAACATACTCCCTGCTCCTACTTGAAACAATTTACATTGAGCCAAATATCTATATGTAGAAGAATCTTAGAAGAAACGGGGTAATACAATTCCAACATTGTCAACAATACAATCCGCGGGCATATAACACTGTGCCAATGCTGTTCACACCTTGTTCAATACACAGCATAGACCAAGTCAGTCAATGAGAGTGAGTGAGTGAGTTTACTTTTACCCAGCTTTTAGCATTATTCCAGCAATATCAAAGTGGGGGACAGTAAAAATGGGCTTCACTCATTGTACCCATGTGAGTAATCGAACCCAGGTCTTCGGCGTGAGGTGCTAACGAGCCACTAGGCTTCCACAACGCCCCCAGTCAATGTCAAAGTTTGACGAGATTCCTGATAAACTGTGAATCTAATCCTGACTTGAAGCTGGATTAAAAGCCACGAAAATAACCCTTAATAAAGCCGCCATTAGAATCCTCAACAGCCAGACCTTTGACAAGAACCTTTCAGTAGAAACACTGGCTAGACCTCTGACAAGAACCTTTTACTAGACGTCTGACTAGATGTTTCATTAGAAACACTGGCTAGACCTCTGACAAGAACCTTTTTACTAGAAGTCTGACTAATAGTTTCAGTAGAAACACTGGCTAGACCTCTGACAAGAACCTTTTACTAGAAGTCTGACTAATGTTTCAGTAGAAACACTGGCTAGACCTCTAACAAGAACCTTTTACTAGAAGTCTGACTAGATGTTTCAGTAGAAACACTGGCTAGACCTCTGACAAGAACCTTTTACTAGATGTCTGACTAGAAGTTTCAGTAGAAACACTGGCTAGACCTCTGACAAGAACCTTTTACTAGAAGTCTGACTAGATAGTTTCAGTAGAAACACTGGCTGGATCCCTGACAAGAAGCTGTAACCAGACGTCTGACAAGGAAGCTGAATATAAGCCTATCTAGAATCCTGACTAGAAGCTTTTACTACAGTCCTTGACTAGATCACAGTAGAACCCTCTCTAGAAGCACCTCTGACAAGAAGCTGTCACTAGACGTCTGCCTTGAAATCTCAGTAGAAGTCATGGCTAGACCTCTGACAAGAAACTGCTATCAGAAGTCTGCCTAGAAGTCTCAGTAGAAACACTGGCTAGACCTCTGACAAGAAGCATTCACTAGAGGTCTGACTTGAAGTCTCAGTAGAAACACTGGCTAGACCTCTAAGAAGAAGCATTTACTAGAAGTCTGACTTCAGTAGAAACACTGGCTCTGACAAGAACCTCTGACAAGAAGTCATTGGCTACTAGAGGTCTGACTTGAAGTCTCAGTAGAAGTACTGGCTAGACCTCTGACAAGAAGCATTCACTAGAGGTCTGACTTGAAGTCTCAGTAGAAGTACTGGCTAGACCTCTGACAAGAAGCATTCACTAGAGGTCTGACTTGAAGTCTCAGTAGAAGTACTGGCTAGACCTCTGACAAGAACCATTTAAGCTAGACTGACTCTGAGAAGACAAGAAGCATTCACTAGAGGTCTGACTTGAAGTCTTAGTAGAAGTACTGGCTTGACCTCTGACAAGAATCATTTACTAGAGGTCTGACTCTGAAGTCTCAGTAGAAGCACTGGCTAGACTCTAGAAGGAGGTCTGACTTGAAGTCTCAGTAGAAGTACTGGCTAGACCTCTGACAAGAAGCATTCACTAGAGGTCTGACTTGAAGTCTCAGTAGAAGTACTGGCTAGACCTCTGACAAGAAGCATTCACTAGAGGTCTGACTTGAAGTCTCAGTAGAAGTACTGGCTTGACCTCTGACAAGAAGCATTCACTAGAGGTCTGACTTGAAGTCTCAGTAGAAGTACTGGCTTGACCTCTAACAAGAAGCATTCACTAGAGGTCTGACTTGAAGTCTCAGTAGAAGTACTGGCTTGACCTCTAAGAAAAAACATTCACCAGAGGTCTGACTTGAAGTCTCAGTAGAAGTACTGGCTTGACCTCTGACAAGAAGCATTCACTAGAGGTCTGACTTGAAGTCTCAGTAGAAGTACTGG